CATTTTTCATCCAAATTTAACGCCACAAATTATATCTAACTATCTATCAATTAACCAATATTTCTAACAGGGTTTAAAAAAAATAAACTTAAAATTGGCCGTAACTTTTGAATGAGAAGAGATAGAGCTTTCATATCAAACATGTATTTTACTTGTGACAAGACCTTTCTAAATGCTTTTCTGATTTTGTGACCTTGAAGTTCGACCTACTTTTGAAAAACTTGAACCTTGCTCTTGACTTTTGAATGAGAAGACATAGGGCTTTCATATTAAACCTGTGTATTGCTTGTGACAAGACCTTTCTGAATACACTATAATTTTTGATCTGGTGGCCTTGTCCTTGAAGTTTGACCTAATTTCCAAAAAAATGTTAATTTTTACTCATAACTTTTGATTGAGAAGAGATAGGGTTTTCATATTTCACATGTGCATTTCCTGGGACAAGATATTTTCGAGCATGCTATGATTTCTGACCCCTTGACCTTCAATGTTGACTTAATTTTTTTTTTTTTAAAGTACGGTATATCAAAATTTGGGAGAGGGGGGGGGGGGGGGTTATAATTAGATTCTCGACAACAAATGGGAAGATGTGCCTACAAATAATTTCTGATCTAAAAAATGTACATGTACAAAGATTGTAATAATCTTATTCTTTGATTTTATATCAAAATTTCAAAAGTACAGAACAATAAAGGATATAATCCAGAATTTATTAAAAAATAGCATTTATTTCAATATCTAATTATACATGTACCCTAGAAAATGCCCAATAAGAAATATGCCAGTGATTTATAAATAAAGTTGATGAATGGATGAAAATTCTCCCTTGTAAGTAATAATTAGAACAGGATTACATGTACAAATGAGCAGTAGAAAGATTGTATTTTAAACTCTTATTTACTGTATTCAGGGTTATTTTCGCCCCCGTGTTATTTTCGCCGTTTTGCGAACACTTTTACCTGTTTTAAATCTGCCCCATTACAGTTTTGATTAAGAATTTATGTTGTTTTCTTTGATTTCGCCCAATTTTAAATTTGCTCACTAGTGATTAGGGCAAAAAATTCCCAGTATACAGTTATACATGTAGTATTAAAACCTTTTTAACTGCAAAGTGTATTAATTAAGACATTGGTCCCCATTAAAATAAGCATTTTGTCTTTTGAAAGAGCTGTATCAAAAATTATGCTTTATACAATCTGATCAAGTACATGTAGCTACATAGTAGAAAAATAAAAGACAATGTCTATTCTAAATGAAATGAGAACATATACTCCTTGAACACATTCATTCAAAATCAAATAAATGAATTTGAGAAATCAGGCAGTTCAGTTTTCCATCCATTCCCATGAATTTCACACATTAATAGTCAATCAATGAAGCACAAAAATTATTTTGAAAAATGATCAAGTTGAATAGAAATCAAAATCATTCATATAATTTCACAGGGGTTATTTCAATTGAAATCAGACACATGCACCTTCAATATTCAACCATATAGCATTACTTTTATACAGTAAAACTAATATAGTACAAAGTTAACACAGATATTGCAAATTCACGGATATAGCAAAATTTTCTTGGATCCCTCACAATGACAATTTTATGAATTCCTTTAATGGATACATGTATAATAAATTAGGGATATAATAAAGAAAATTCATAGGTCTAACAAAGTGACTTCGTTATAACTGAGTTATGCTGTGCATGCAGTGAAATTTTTTAAAATGATCTGAACATGAATATACTGTATAATCCCTATTAACCGCCCCTGACCTTATAACCCCTCCTTCCCCCCAGTCTTTTTCAATTGTAAGGAAATAAGGGCCCCCTGTTGAGTGATTAAAATCATCTAGAATCGTATCAAAAGTCAGCCCAAATTTGAAGAAAGTGAAAATGAAACTTGTCTATCATTACATTTCTTGGTGGAAAATGAATCATTTAGCATAAATTGGGTGTATTATCTTCACTTAAAGTAAAGTTAGACATTATTTTAGTGGTTCTTTGTATTTATTTCTTTTTTTCAAAAGATTTTTTTAAGTTAAAATATGACATTAAATATTATAAAGAGAATACCAAAATTACCGCCCCCTTTTCACAATTTTCTAAGCACCCAGGGTGGTTAATAGGGATTATACAGTATTTCTGAGAAAATTATACAAGTCTAACCTGCAAATTATTCAAATTAACTCATTATATTTAATATCTATACTCATGCATTCTTTACTTCACTGTCTAAGATTCTAAGTATGTTACAAAAAATAACCCAAAAAATATAGAGTGTACAGTATATGAACATTGTAAATAAAAAGTGCTTTGAAAAGATGTTTTTAACCAGAAATTTATATTAAAACATCCTATTCCTAAAGCTTTTTAAGCTTTCCTTTACTTCGAATTGCATTATCAGAAATTTGCTTCCAATTGTGTTGATGTGTAATTTTTAACACCCCTTTGTGACAATGTATCAAATCATTAAAAACATGTATTCATACTACATGTATTGTTTCTAACTTGAACATGCTTTTCAAACATGCTTTGTAGAGAGAACAAAATTCATATAAAAAAAAATTTAAATCACATTTCATTAATTTCCTGAAAAGTGAGCACTATATTGAATACAATTGTAACAGGAAAGGAGAAAATGCATGGCTGGACCGGGAATCGAACCCGGGACCCCTGTATCTCTAGTCAGGTGCTCTACCTACTGAGCTATCCATACTTATCAAAAAGGTGAAAAATCCTATAAAAATCAATGAGATGGAAAAATGAAAAGGAATGAGCTACATCACCCAATGTGACACTATCAACACTCTAGAGTTAATCTGAAAATATCAATACTAATTCTAGGCTCTAAAAATAACTGACCCAGAAAATAAACAACACCCAAAAATAAATAATAAATAGTGGTTCTAGAAAATAAACCTGTTATCTACATATCCCTAGACCAGGCTGGACTTGGAAAGGGAAACTTAGTTTACTTAAAATACCCTACATCCTAACTCTTTCCTAGCATGTGAAAAACGTGAAACTAAATCTAAGCCAAAACCTAGAGAACTGTTAAACCATGAGGTTTTCTTAGCCCGCTAAGTATCTAATCAAATAGTGCTCATAAACCATGAGGTTTTCTTAGCACAGAAAAGAGGAACTAACCATGAGGTTGTGTTCCCCAACCCAAGTGAAGAAAACTGCTCGAACACGGGTTTAAATACCCTGGCAAGGCCCAAAATAAAAACCAATGACTATCAAAGATCCTATAGCTAAATTAACCAATCAGAACGCAGGTATCAAAAGTACTACGGAAAGACTGCCAACATGGATGACATTTCCTGTTTAAAAAGCGAAACATGTGGAATGTCAACTCATGTCCTCACTTATAAAAGACAAATAATAAAGGGCTTTTATGTAAGTAACAACTGAAAACAAATGGTAAATAGAATTATCAGATTGAAATACCAGCAAATACTTGTAAATAATGAATTACGAAACGATGGCTATGAAATAAAAATCTAAACCACTACATTCCTCCCCCCTTAAAAAAAAACAAAATTTACACAGTAAATTTTCGTTTCAAAATAAGACAAATGTTAATTAATTTAAGGAATGTCAGAAAAACTGAGGTCTTTGATCCCGGGCGTTGTAGGTCTCCGGAAGATTAAATAAAGGCTTCACCCGCATAGCATGGCGTTTCCTCGCAGCCTCATCCCGGGCTTCCTGATGGACTGGTGGAAGGGGAAGGCCAATGTCCCCAGGATTACAATATCGCGGATTTGTAATCATCCTCCTGAAGCAACATCCCTGTAAACTCTTATGCTTCTCTCACTCTAGCTAAGGGTGTCACTGTCTCTCTTACAACTTCATTCTGACTTGCTTGTAACAGGAAAGGAGAAAATGTATGGCTGGACCGGGAATCGAACCCGGGACCCCTGTATCACTAGTCAGGTGCTCTACCGATTGAGCTATCCAGGCCGATATCCACGGCCCTAACCATTACATTCCTCCCTCCTTAAATGGTCTTCGCCCTCGAAGACACAACCCAAGTTCTTATTAGCCCCTGGCAGGACTTTCACCTGCAATTCCAGGGGTGGTCAACGGCACCAAATCTGTAACAGGAAAGGAGAAAATGCATGGCTGGACCGGGAATCGAACCCGGGACCCCTGTATCTCTAGTCAGGTGCTCTACCTACTGAGCTATCCATACTTATCAAAAAGGTGAAAAATCCTATAAAAATCAATGAGATGGAAAAATGAAAAGGAATGAGCTACATCACCCAATGTGACACTATCAACACTCTAGAGTTAATCTGAAAATATCAATACTAATTCTAGGCTCTAAAAATAACTGACCCAGAAAATAAACAACACCCAAAAATAAATAATAAATAGTGGTTCTAGAAAATAAACCTGTTATCTACATATCCCTAGACCAGGCTGGACTTGGAAAGGGAAACTTAGTTTACTTAAAATACCCTACATCCTAACTCTTTCCTAGCATGTGAAAAACGTGAAACTAAATCTAAGCCAAAACCTAGAGAACTGTTAAACCATGAGGTTTTCTTAGCCCGCTAAGTATCTAATCAAATAGTGCTCATAAACCATGAGGTTTTCTTAGCACAGAAAAGAGGAACTAACCATGAGGTTGTGTTCCCCAACCCAAGTGAAGAAAACTGCTCGAACACGGGTTTAAATACCCTGGCAAGGCCCAAAATAAAAACCAATGACTATCAAAGATCCTATAGCTAAATTAACCAATCAGAACGCAGGTATCAAAAGTACTACGGAAAGACTGCCAACATGGATGACATTTCCTGTTTAAAAAGCGAAACATGTGGAATGTCAACTCATGTCCTCACTTATAAAAGACAAATAATAAAGGGCTTTTATGTAAGTAACAACTGAAAACAAATGGTAAATAGAATTATCAGATTGAAATACCAGCAAATACTTGTAAATAATGAATTACGAAACGATGGCTATGAAATAAAAATCTAAACCACTACACAATCAAGAAAGACAACTCTTCCAGTTATTCATAAATTTTCATCATAACTCCTCTTTCTCTTTCTTGTCCGAGTCCTTCACATCTTCCTCGCTTCCTTCTTCCTCCTCTTCCTCAATGCCTTCATCTGTCTCATCCTTATTTTCCTCCTCTTCCTCTTCTTTATTTTCAACTTTCTGAGATTCCTGGACGGGGCCTGGTTCTGGCATGGGAGTGTTAAGATCTTCTTCAGAGCAGTATTCTGTGTAATTATATTTTTAGAAGATTTAAAATAAATATGATTAGTATTTTAGCTTGTAAATTTTGACATTTTACCCCATAGATGATGATTTCTTTGAGATATATAGTACTGGAGTATGTTGTACCAATGTTTCGGAAATGAATCGAAAGAGGTGACAGAGCACTGTTTGTTTAAATTTAGGACGTACCTGCAATCTCTCCACACACTTTCTTTTCTACCTCTGGAAGTTCTCCGTGTCTAAACGCTCGGATTATCTGGTCTTCATATTCCTCCGCAATTGTCTCACACTGAAAAAATATTGGTACAATAGTTCAAAAATTAAAGTGAAATGTTGAACTATCAGCCACTATATACATAAAACAATGTAATTATTAAGTTCTCCAGCTTTTGTCATTTGATGTATTATCTTTACTTCAATTAATGTGATAGCATCAAGCAAATGATGAACTGAACTAGTGCTAATTGTAACGGGAACCGTTACAGATGTTCCCCAAACGCTCCCCAACTCCTTTTTGGTGCAATATTCCCTGTAAGCTTCATTAAATAAGACAAAACTCTGTGCATTTTTGACTTTAACAACGTTTTCTCAGAAGGATACCAATTATATTCAAATTTTAGCACTGCACCCGTGCGCATGTGAATGCATGTGCGTTATGATCATATCATCTTGTCTACACTATCTACATATCTTAATATACAATATATTAAAGCATTCAGTCCAAAGTATGAAAAATCACTCTTTCAAACGTATTTTTCATTTCACTCGTTCCAAATGCATGCACGTGTGTGCACGTGCATGATGACCATACCTTCTTGTAGGAGTACCTTATATCTATCTATATTCTAAATCCCATCCTGTTTGGTTGAAAAACAAGGGAGTTATAGCCATTTCAAGTTTAAGCCAATCAGATTGCAGCACACGTGCATGCGCGTGATTTCATTATTTTTTTCTACATCATATTGTAGTATATCCTAATGCATGACTATGTTTTAAATTTCAAAGCATTTCGTCAAAAAACAAAGGAGATATAGCCATTTAAAGTTTCAGCCAATCAGATTGCAGCACGCGGGCATGCGCATGCTTTCATGAAAATTCTTATATATCACGCTGTAGATCTTCATAATGTAGGTCTATGTTCAAAATTTCAAAGGATTATGACAAGAAACAAGAAAGATATCGAGACTTTAGTTTCAGCCAATCAGAGCAAAGCACACGTGCATGCGCGTGAGATCTTACTTTTTTGACCATGTCATTTTGTCTATCCTTCTAATATATACTTATAATATGAATTTCAAAGCATTTCATCAATAATTTAAATAGTTACGTCTGTATCAATTATATTGGACATTTCTCGTGTTGCACGTGCGAGCTCTTGCAAGCACATGTGCATGCACATGCTTTCATAATAAATCTTATATTACAGGCTGTAGATCTCCCTAATGTATGACTATGTTCAAAATTTCAAATGATTTTATCAAAAAACAAAAAAGATATTGAGACTTTAGTTTCAGCCAATCAAAGCGAAGTGCACGTGCATGCGCGTGCGATCTTGCTATTTTGACCATGTCATCTTGTGCATACTACTAATATATCCTTACATTATAAGTTTCAAAACATTTCGTCACAAAATAGAAAAGTTACGGTTATATCCATTATATATTGGTCATTTTAAGTTTTGCACGTGCGCGCTCTTGCAAGCACGTGCGCGCAAAATGACCTTGATTCCGCAAATCTACATAACATGCCTACTTACCCTAAAAAGGTTTCACCTAAGTCGGATGTGTAGTTTACAAGATCACTCGCGGAAAAGATTTTCCCAGGAAGAAAAATAATAATAATAATAATAAGAATAATAATAATAAGAAACAGAGTAAAAACAATATGTTCCCCAACTTCGTTTGGGGAACATAATTACTGAGTATGAAACACTATAACTCTCTTATTAATATTACAAAGAGATTTTGAACTTTTCTTTACTTGATTTTCTGTATGATGAGTTCATTATTAGGTGTGAATTAATAAATCACATGTAAAATTTCTCTGGTAAATAGCAACGTTATAATTTCAATAATTAATACATGTACATGGTGAAAATAAAATGGGTTACAAATATAGCAGAAAGTTATCTGAAATAAACTTTGTCCTTACTGTGTGTGTCAGTAGTTTCATCCCCTCCATTGTAATCTGTATGTCTTTGAGCACCAAAGGCTTGCCATCCCTGGACACCATTCTCACTATACTTCTCTTTCCTAGACCGTTCTTTGTATTTCCATACTGCCTGAATTTTTCACAAATTGTCTCAAAAACCTCTGTTAGATGAACTTCAGATCTTGCATAGGGTACCTTCAAAATATACAAATGAATATACATGTACTGTATTTTGAATTCATAAATGAATTCAATTATCTTATACCCATCTGAAATTAGGTTGCTTTCATTGTGCACTGTACTAATTACTGTTAACTAACTTTTATGTGTGTGCAAGAAACTTATGTGAGGTTCATGAAAGCCTCATCATTGCGAATATTTCTCACTGTAAATTGGTTCTTAAAGTCTCTGCATCTATAATTTACAGATTAAAAAGGCCTGATCACAAAAATTGAATGTTGAGAACTAGTTTACCCCCAGTAAATCTTGAAATAAAGTCGTCCTGAATAAAAGTTGGTTTACGGTAACATATTTCAGAAGTGACCTAGAATTACATGTAGAAGGGCAGAGATCAAAAATTGACTGTGGTACCTGTGAATTATGAATGGTCACTGCGACAATATAAAATTGCATGTACATGAATAGGTTTTTTGTGCATCTACATGTCAATTAATCAATTACCTCTACAGTCTTCTGGTTTCCTTTGGAGTCCACTCTAAAGCTGCCAACTTGAACTTTCTGTTTGGAGTTGACGGAGGAAATACTGTGGTTAACTTCATCAGTTAAAGCCCTGCAAACTACAAGACAGAAGATCTAGAGGAACCTGTTTAAATCATCAGCACTTTGACATCAAAAGAAAACTTTACAAAAATAATTACTGTACTTTTATTGTCCTGACCTACATCTAAATCACAAATATAAAACCTTTCCAATATTTCTCCCATTTGATATTAACTTTCATGTGGCTGAGCTTAAAGTTATTTAATTGAGGAAAATAATAATTATATAATATTATAAAATTATAATAATTAAAATAAGTGCATATAAATAATTAAATTTCAAAAGATATTTGATTTCTGGAACTTTTTAAAAATCAAGCTATCTTTAAAAACATTGTATTCACATGTATCTACAAACAAGAGCTATGGAAAATGTTAGAGCTACATGTACATGTACATTCCGAGTGCCCTTTTTTTTGGGGGGGGGGCAGTTTTGCTTGATTTAGCAAAATTTTCACTTGTTGAAAAGTACAGAAGTGCTACAATAAAATAATAAAGTTACCTGCACAGTAGAGTTCATCATCTCTCTTTGATTCCACAATCAAAAGAGACCCCACTGTTAGCAGAAGAAGACGTAGATCCATTTCTGTAAAGTACCCCCTGGTAATATTACTAAATTACAAGTACATACAAATTCACATAGGGTAGCAGTGTATATTTACTATATTACTTAATGACATATGTATTTGAGATTCAGTTCAGCAAATTTTAAGATTTGATCTGAAGAAAAGTTGAGTTTACCAATATTTTTTTCAATATGATTGTTACTTCATATCTACTGATGTGGTCGATTTTGATTGGTGAGTTGTCAAAACTTTCTGTCTATCATTTTAAAAAAATAAAGCTTACATGGCATACGTCTAAATATCAATGAGTAAACTCAAAATGACAAGAAATCGAAATATGATATCTTCACACTGCTTGAAAACACAATAAAATACAGATTACATGCTATGTTTACCTTCTTTTCCACCAACACCGGTTCTGTCAACAGGTGCTCAACTTCCACTTTCAATTTCAACTGCCACTTCCATCGCCTAAAAAAAATCGTGAACTTAAAATCAATCGACTTCAAATGATAGACCTACTGTAAGATATAATAAATATTGATTTTCAAGTATTATTTCGTGTAAATTTTCATTTCATTTTTGTTCTATATGAACAAGATTTATCTATTTTTTTTTTAATGTCATTTGATCTATGCGGCCTTATGTCGACATCTACTTTCAGTTTGAACTCGTCTGCAGAAAGGTAACGAAGCAGTCTCCTTGCCTACTTGGTGGCCTTAAATTGTACTCATACTGTTTTCATCCTCATCGATAAAGACTTGGGTAAGGCATCTAACAAAGAAATAAAACAAAGCCATCAATTAGTTACAAATCCACAATTTCATTATGTGGCATTATGCTGCAGTGACTATGATTTTAGACTTAGAGTAGGCTCCTAGTATCTCCTGTTTTTAATTGTTTGAGGAATTGATATTCCATAATTATATTGATATAGATTTGTATTTAGCATGTGCATTTAAAAGCTTTGATGTACATGTAGCTGCTGCTGATGCAATAATGTTACCCTCAGATTTTTATGCAACTGATCGATAGATCAGGGGAGGGGGGCATTGTTTTTATCTGTCTGTCTGTCTTTTTGTCTGTCAACTTTAACCTTCACCAAAACTTTTGAACCATGAGAGATAGAGACTTCATATTTGGTATCCATACTCAAACTAATTAAGCTCTTTCAAATGTCACCAAGGTCAATGACCTTGTGACCTTGACTGACCTTTATGCTACATGTAAAAATAGCCTTTTTTGAACCTTCGACCACCATACACATAACTTTTGAACCATACGTGTTTGGTATGCATACATTACTAAATTAGTTCTTTCAAATGACACCAAGGTAAATGTTCTTGTGACCTTGACTGTGACCAATATGCTAAAAATAGTTGTTGTTTTTTTCAAACTTTGTTGCCGCAGGGTGCATAGTGTTTTAGAAACACATTTTGTTTCTGTTATTTTCCTCTTTCTCCTTCTTTTTCCAAAAAAAGAAGAGGGATACATTATTGCACCTTACTAAGTTTATTAGCCTCTGATGAACATATTTGAAAGAAAAAGTATTTTATATTTTATATTTATACATATTACATGTATTCACAGGATCTGGAATGAGGGATACATTATTGCACCT